TCGAAGGTCTCTTGCCAGATCCTGCCGATTTGCTTCAGGCTCCACAACAAGGCCCGCTTTCCCGAGGGACACTGTGGGAAAAGCAGGTTTGCAATGCTTTGGCCGCCCGTTTTTATTTGTATTGCCTGGCAGATCACAAAACTCCATGCGACACCTACGCACCGTTCCTAGAGATCTATCCTACGACAGACAACCATCTACGCAGTGTATTGGAACAATTCAGTGTTTGCTGGAGTGACGGGGTCGAGCATCCAGATGAGGAAGCAAGTGTCCTTTGACAGGGTCGGGAAGGCTATCAAGTCCAACAAGAACATCAAGAATGCTCACCATGACTTGCTGATTCCTGTGAAGCGAATTGAAACAGGAGATCTAGAGTATATAGCCGCACAGTGCCGTTACGGAAATCCCAAAACTGCAACGGAGTTGACTAAAACATGCCAGAACAAAGCGTGGAAACCCAGGACCAGTGACCCGAGCTCGGAGGTTCCTGACACGAATGTACTGTTGCAAATTTGTTCCACAAGTGAAGGGATGCAGAAGTTCCAGAAAACTACACCCTGGGCAAAGCGGCAAGAGGAGAAGAGATATTCACTGATGAGCTGTAAAGCTATCATTGCGCAGCTTCACATGCTCCGCATCTTGTGATACAACTGAATCATGTAGCTATGGCTTTAGCATGGCATGGCCAAAGTTGCCTTTCCCTCAAAAGTGAAGATGCTGAGGCGTTTTGAAAAGCTTTGCTGCCCACCGACAGGATTTTAAGTTGCCTACCGACAAATTTCTAATTGTGACACCCATGATCATGCAAACCTTGACGTGGAGTAGCTGAATGGCAGCTGATTCTGCTCAAACCCCATGAGCGCTCGAATTCTTCAGGACACCAAAGATGTCAGTCAGACATGTCAAAACTGAAAAATGCTTGATTTGGTCCAGCACAGTCAAGGTGATTTGCTTTTTCAGTATGATACATTGTACAAGGTTCCGAGATTCTAAGTAAGGGTTCCAAGTAAAGGATCACATGGAGGATTTTTCTTAATTTTTCATAAGAAATTTAAAAGAATTATAAGATTCTCCCAGGTTCTCTTAAGAAACCTAGAGCATTTCCCCGGTTTTTCCCTCGCCTCTTAAGAAGATTAAAGAATTTCTTGGCTTTCGTTTTTCCCACACCACCTCATATGTTCCAACTCCAGATCTGCCTAAAACCAAAACAGCGAGACTTGAAGTCACAAGCAGACACTGCGGTCACTGATAGATCTGATAGTTCGAAGATGGTCTCAAGCCGAAAACCCTTTGTGCACAATAGGATCTTGTCATTCCTTTGTGCAGAGTGGCTTTGCGTGACATGAGATGCGACAAGCTTTGTCACTGGTACGTCAAGGCGCTTTATCAGGAAGTGTCCGACCCTCCTTTCCGAGTTGAGCGAGTCGTGGGACTTTGACCTAGAACCAGTGCTTGAAGCAGCACACACGGTATGGGGACGGTTGTATGAAGATTATGCAGTGGAACAGGCTGGCTTGAGGTACCGGCCAGTGCTTGGCAAAGCCTTCGCCATCGACATGAGCGGCAGGGGTCGGGTAGACTTTCTGGGAGGCGGACTCGAAGCTTGGCAAGCAATTTGCCAAAGACTATCCGACCTACATGCACACCACGACCCTCGCCAGACTGCAGAGGCCACATTTTCTCATCGCAGAAATTGGATTGACAACAAAGACACTCAGACAAAAGTTTCAAAAAAAAGCAAAGTCGCTAAGCTTGATGCAGGATTTCATTGCCAACATTCAAGCAAGTAACCTCAACGCAGTCAAATGCTTAGTGTATGATGGGGCAGATGCGGAAGATTTCACAAAGACCGAAGCGAGCAAGTTCTTGGAAGGAGGCGTCTTGGTGAATATTCCATACCTATCAGCAGAAAGTGTTTGATTCACTTGCTTCATTTGATGCCTATGTTTTTGTTCAATCATTTATTCGAAAGAAAGATGATGGTCTTCAAAGGTTGTGAAGTGTTTTGAACACAAGAAAGATGGTCTTCAAAGTTTTGCAAGCCACGTTGATTGAATCTGATGCGTGCAGCTTGTTCACTCCTTAGAGTATGCAGTTGTTGTCATTAGTCTTCCTTACATTAGCGGCCCTGTCATGCTGCTATGAGAGCAGAGCAACTGAAACGAGGCAAGTGATATAATTATCAATATTTCAATATGCTGTTCACAAGTTTGTACCTTCCATATGCATGTTAGGAAACTGCTAACAAGAAATTCACCTTGACAGGCTGGGTCATTTTGGCTACAGCATGGCTTGTCTCCAGGCTTGTTGCCTCACCCTTAGTTAGCAGATCCCAAAGTGGAGTTGCAACTTACTTCTTTTTGAGAGCCTGTTGCCAATCGAATTGGGTCCCGCATTTGTGCTTTCAGGTGAGCCCATGCAGATCTTTCTGTTCGCAAAAGCCTAGTCAGCGACACGGTTTGGGACGGCTTGCAGCACCAAACAAGGACCATACAAAGGGAAGAACCGTTGCACCCAGTTCACAGACGTCTTGCGTTTTGTGCATGTCAGGCAAACGTGTTTTTTTTTTTCGCAATCGTATGCTGTTTCCATTTGGTTCGGTGCAGGACCCACAAGGAATCAAGCCAGTCGAGGAGATGGGCTAGTTGACGTCCCCCAAAATGTGCTGACTTGAAGTGCTCCTTCCGAGATGCGACACCAAAACATAGCGCAGTAAGTCGTATGTACTGATGAGGCTTTGCTTGGTGACCTTCCGACGTATGAACTTTTGTCATGGAATTTGTAGCAGACTGAGTCAGAGTGCTTTGTTCTCAAACCTGCAGGAATCGGCAACAGATGAGGCACACGGCTGTGAGCCAATTGAATTCCCTTCTTTCACAAGAGACACCTTCACTTTGTCCAATTGTTGAAAGCCTTTGCTTCACGTTTCGTCTTCAAAGCCTAAACCTCTTCTTTCAAACGACTTGGCTTTCGTTTCAAGGATTCCCTGCGACAGGTCACACATGTGACGTGTTCGCGCCAGATCTATCATCTAGTGTCCAGTTTTGTTTCTTCAAACCGAAAGAAACAGAAGAAGAGCTGAATGGAAGTCATCGGAGTTCGGAGTTATGTCATCGGAGTTATGTTCTTTTTGCAACAGACTGCTCTCAGACTGCAGATAAAACAAGAACATCAATTCCATTTGAAGAGAGGTTCTAGTTAGTCTTCATTCCGTGTGTTCTCATTTCTGGTTTGTTTACATGTTTAGTTTTTGTTCTGCAAAAATTGGCTCCGCTATGAGCACTTGTGACAGGTTGATGCCTTGACTTTGGCACGACGTCAGCTGAAGCTTGCTTTGGACCAGCAAGCATCTGCGCAAGCGCAAGTGGACAGTGCGCAAGTGCAGGTAAACGTGGCCGTGGATGACTGGCAAAAAGCCAAAGAAACAGGAGATGAGCAGAAGGTGAAGGAGGCGAAGGAGGAAGTGAAAGAGGCGGAGGCGAAGGTCGAAAAGGCGAAGAAGGAGGTGGAAAAGGCGGAGGAGAAAGTGAAACATGCAAAGAAGGAAGTGAATGAGGCGGAGGAGAAGGTGAAAGCCCAGCAGGAGAAGGCCATTCGCTGCACAGCTTCAGTGTGGTCACAGTTCTCCCGAAAGATGCAAAAATAGATTACTACTTTATATATCTTCACATTCTATGGTTCAAAAAGTTCTGTTTCTTCAGTGAATACCCTCAGTAGGCCTCCAAAAGATGAATGAATCCCACAAGGTAAACAAAAGGATGGTATGCAGGATTGAAAGAACCAGAGAGTCAAATAACGCTTAACAGACTTAACACGACATCTTAACACCGGAGATGTTCTCTTGGTCCAGGTGCCAGGCTTCCAGTCTCTCACTGAGCTTCTTGGAAGGCTGCTTTTTTCCGATGCCGTGCCGCTGAATGACAGAAAGGCCACTTATTCTTCAGCGTCTTCGTACATTGTTGAGTTGGGCAGGGGCCCGTTGCAAAAGACCAATTTGAAGGCACAGCTTCTAGATCGTGAGCAGGAAGTGCAACTTATTGTGGAGATGTTGCTGGAAAGCTCAAACAAATTGTTTGGCAAACGTTCGTCAGACAAGGCTTTCTCGCCAACCATCCTAGTGGCGCAGGCACCTGGAGCAGGCAAGAGCCATTTCCTGGCCGTGCTTGGAGAGGAGATTCCCATGCTGTACGACCTGGATGGCAAAAACCAGACACCGATCGTCTCGGCTTTCACCTACTTAGTGGGTGTCTGAGACCTACATGCAGGGCCCTTTCAGAAACTTTCGCCCCAATTCAGAAAACCAGAAGATCGTCCATGTCGATGCCATCAATTTCACCACTGGCAATGCCATGGAGAATCCACCCATTGGATCATGAGAATCTGCCAAGGTCCTCGAGCTCCCTTGGACTGGGAGTGTCACCAGGATGGGATCCTACAGACCTGGGGAGATATCCCCACAAAAAGGGGAACATTTTGAATCCATGAACATTTATCATCCAATTTGGGGGTGCGCATGATTTTTGTTCGCTCACGATGCGGGACATTCCCTATCATTCGCTCACGTTGCCAGGATGTTCGTGGATACTGCAATTTTGGCGGCTAGAAGGCCTCGCCTTTCATGGCAGTCATGTCATGACTGCCATGAAAGGCGAGGCCTTCTAGCCGCCAAAATTGCAACTCAGTTGCAGGCACCATGAGTGGTACAGGATGGTGCCCCCAGTTGTAAGTTGCTTTATAATCCCCTTAGCTATAGCCATATGCCCCCAATCAACCCTTATTGGAGTTATAAACCACCTTAGCTGACTATGGGTCTAAGTCAAATTAATTGACCTCTAAACATCATTACGCAGCCTCAGTGGTGGGCTTGAGCTGAGAGTTTGCCGGATCAGTTCCAGATGAAGCATGCGACATTATGGTTTCAAATGATACTGTACCTATTTAGATACATGCAGGTGTATTTATGTATATGTACATAGTATGTATGTAATATAGTGTAGTGGAATGTAACGTAACGTAACGTAACGTAGTGTATGTATGTAGGAATGAAGGAATGAAGGAATGAAGGAATAAAGGTAATATATGTAATGTATTTAATGTACGTAATATCTGTAATGTATGTAATGTCTGTATACAATGTCTGTCTTGCAGCATCTTCGGCTAACGTCCCGGTTAGGTAAGTTTTTATTCATTTTCATTCTCATCTCATTTTCATCTCCATCTCACCAACCCTGCTGCGGCAGGGTGTGTGTGTGTGAACCATCTGTATAGATATAAGACTTCCTTTCTTTGCAGGGGGCCACCGGTTTCCTAGGGGGTCAGTAGCCAACGAAGACACCCTCTGGGTACCTGTGTAAACGTACCTGCTTCTTTATATATTTCATGTTGTCCCGCCCCTGGGCGCATTTAAGTCGCAGCTGGGGGGACGTCTAGTATATCGCTGTTGGTTTATATTGTCAATGTCTTCTGTGGTTATAATATATATTGGTTCATCTCATCGTGTCAATTTGTTTTGTTGGTGTTTTTGCACGACTGTTGCATTCCACATCACAAGTCGATAAGACGTCTGAGCAAGTCTGTGTAGTGTATGTAATGTATGTACTGTATGTAATGTATGTAATGTAATCTACTGTAATGTAAGGTAAGGTAATGTAAGGTTATGTTATGTTATGTATGTAATTATGTATGTATAAAAAACATACATGTAGCTTAGATGTACATATGTGCATATATATATAGTTAGCCTAGGGCAATCCCGTCTTTTTACAGACCGCACCCCCTACAATACAATAGATTTTAAAGCGGTCAAAACAAAAAGATGGGATTGCTTTACCTTATAGATAATAACATAATCAACAACAAAATCATAACAAACAAATAAAACGAAAAACAAAACAACCTAAACAATACAATAGACCTTAAAACAAACCTTACCATAAATCATAACAACCCCACCTTACCCATCTTTCATAGCCATTCACTGGCTACATTCTGGACAACGACACCATCTTTGAATGGTGCGACCAGCCTGTTTGCTGACTGGGTGGGGTGGATTTGCCAAGTTGTCTTGAAGGCTTGACTTTTGGTCAGAAATTCAACCAGAGCATTGAGCAAGTGATGATTTGCCAACTTGTTTTTTTCCACAGTGCGTTTTGCTACTCAAGTCTGTTTTGCCTTCTGTGCTTCAACTTCTTTCTTTCGCTTGTTGCTATGGCTTTCCCTATGGCTTCTTCTTTGACCTTGGAGTTTGGTGATTGGAGTGATGCCGACAGCATTGGTGAAGTCAGTGCTTACGGCAATGCCTCGGTGTCTTCGGGAAGCACCTGTGCTTCTGGTGTTGAGTTCTTTGGAAACCGCCAAAGTCAGAGGCAATACCTTACCAACCTCCTCACAAGTGATGAGGAGAGTGATGAGGAGAGCGATGAGGAAGAAAACTGTAATGTGGTGATGTTTGAGGGGACGGATGCTTTAGCCCTGAAACCATCCCACATCAACTTCCTTGTGTATGACATCATTGACTGTGCCACCTATGAGTTGTTGGTTGCGCGTAAAATTTCCCAGAGGCAGAGCAACCCTGACTACTACACCTTGGAGGTGGCAGGTATGGAGATGTCGCCACAATATCATATGAGTATGTATCTTCATCGTATTGGCAACCTTGACTACTACGAACTCATCGACCACAAACCCTTTGAGGTTCAGTTTGTCTTGATTGGGGATGACCGTGGCAGGGTGAAACGCAAATTCACTGGATTGAGAGACATTGCTTATGTGAGGCGCTGGTTGTGCCACCAAGTCTTTGAGGGAATTGACTTGGATGACATCAGAGTTCTTCACAAACACGAGGAACTTGAAGATGACGACGAGCAACTCCGCTATGTCTTCAATTTGGCTTCCAACATTGCCGACCCCTACGGCTTGTATGAGCTACAGGTGATGTTGAGAGGCAGGGGTGGAGGAAAGCGGAAGTTTGAGGATGTGATGGAAGAGGTGAATGACAAGGTTGTCAAGATTGCTTCCAAAATGTCAGCAGACAACCAGTTCAAAACAGAACTGGATGTTTTTTTCAAAAAGTTGGAGAGCAACTCATCGGGCACACCCATTGCTGACATCGTCCGCAATATGAACCCTGATGAGTTCCAAAGTCTCTATGGCAACTACTGGAATGACACACAGGCAAATTTCCTTCGCTTTGTTCCCAACATTGCCGAAAACTTGACACCATTGATGACAAAGATTGTCGAAACAGAAACGGATGCCAGTGATGCGAGACAAGCACTTTGTGCTACTCTTTGTGGTTTCTTTGCCAAGGAGTTCAACAACGGCAAGGAGGTAAAAAACTCCATCTTTGAGGACATCTTGGAGAACCAGAAGAGCAAGCACGAGGAAGACCAGAGGGTTGAAGCACGCGCCCAGCAGCTGATTTTGGAGCGTCAGAATGCTTCAAGCAATGGAGATGTCCCAATGAATGGATGAAAACACCAATTTTCAGACCCTGAAAACGGACAAAACCCATTTTCAAGCATCGAACACACCCATTTTCAGACCTTGAAAACACCTGTTTTCAGACCTTGAAAACACCTGTTTTCAGACCTTGAAAACACCCGTTTTCAGACCCTGAAAACGCACAACATCCATTTTCAAGCACTGAAAACGCACTTTCAGACCCTGAAAACACCCAAAATCCATTTTCAGACCCTGAAAACACCTGTTTTCAGACCTTGAAAACGCCCATTTTCAGACATTGAAAACAGAATTGGTTTCTCCACTGCTTGGGGCATCGCTTGATTAAGTGCCTGCTACAATGGTAGTTTTTGGCACACATTATTTTATCACAAACTATTTAATCACAGGGTATTACATCACAATGTTTCAAATCAAAACGACCGTTCATTGTATAGGGGAATGGTCATTTAGTCCGAGCCCTGACGAAGTTTTTTGTGTCTCGTTCAAACTGATTTAATAAAAGCCTTTTTGACAGGCTAATTAGAAGGCAACATACCGTCAAAGCCGCGTGCTTGAAAAAAATGATTGCGGATACACTGGGCGTTCCGTTTTGGTTGTGGAGATTGTGGCAACAGATTTGAAACACCAACTCAAAAACATCATCCAAATATTGACTGCCAATCACACCCGCCCGATGGCAGGTTGATGACCAGCTCTACAGTAGTTGCGGGCTCTCAGATGGTGATGATGGATGATGATAATAATGAAAATGATGAAGATGAAGATGAATATTTCAACTTTTCTTGGGGGTAGGATTTCCCGACACTTGGGGATATATAAATATATCACATACCCACATACCCCCCATACACACATAATATATTTATCCCTTATTCATTCACCCCCTTGACCTGTTCAGAAGGTTCGGCAACAGTCTGGCACTGGTCTGGCACTGGTCTGGCACTGGGTTGAATGGGTTAAAATATATAAATAGATAGATATATATTTATATTTATCTATCTATCTTTGACGAAGGCAACGCCACAACTGCTGAACCCATAGTGGCAAGGCGCAGTATTTTTGTGTGGCAAGGCGCAACTAATTAAAGCACACAACATTTACAGCAGTCATAATTTCCTGAACCAATGCTTGAGGTATTCCATACAAATCCTTCTGTTTAAACAAGGTGTAATTTTCTTTCCAAAATTCCTTTTTCCCACTAGGTGCTCTTTGCGCTGTTTCCTTATTCCTATTCCCATCCATCATTCCACAATCTTTTTTACAGAGAGGTCTAGGTGTCCAAGTCTTTAGATTACACCAAAGCCTAGTGCGTTTCCTGTATGACATCCCATATTTACAATAACCCACATCAAAGAATGGCAAACCCTCCATAAATGGTTGCTTCTTCAAAAGCCCCGACTGGGGATTTTCTATGAACCAAATGCGCGGGTTAAAGTATTTGATTATCTCAAGCGCTTTCAAAACGATGGCATTAGCCTCATCAATTTTTCGCGTTCCAACCGTTTTCGCAATGCTATACTCAATACAAGGGGGAGAAGCCCAAATCATATCGTAGTATTTCACAGGATATTTTTTGTATTTCCATTGTAGTATATCGCAGTTTATATCAGCCCCTTTTAAATCTAATGAGACAACATCCCATCCCATATCTTTCGCAACAGTTCCCACACTACCAGTTCTGCTAGACAATTCAAGCAATTTCATATAATCTATATATGAAATTATTGATGAAACATACGCGTTTTTTTTATCACTCCATCATTTTAAACACCTCACCATCCCTTTCAATCTTGTAAAACTCAAGTGTCTGCGACTTAGGCATTTTGATTTTACCTTCATTCAGCATAGCCAGATACTGTTTCTGCTTTGTTTCATAAGTCCCAGCCGGTCTTCCCACCTGCTTTTTCTCAAAGATTTTATCCATCCTTTCTTTCTCAGCATCAGCATCATTATCATTACTTGATTTATTTTTCACTAGTATATCAAGTTTTTCTATTGCCTTGTTCATTAAGTCCATCAGTGTTTTGACATTCTTGTTATACCTAGTCATCTTGTTCAACATTTCAGCCATTTCAGGTTGTTTATCATCTAAATCACTCATTACTATATATTAATTATTTAGATATTTATTTATTTATCAGTTGAAAGTGTGTTATAATCACTCTTTAAATGGTTTTCAACTCCAACATAGTTGGAGTTCAAAAGAGCATCGTGCTGTTTTCAATCCATATCATTTATTGCCATTTGTTTTTTACTACCACTACTACCCATTACATCACTTATCATTCTATTAGTGCTCTCAGTTTTTTTGTCTTCTGGGGTGACTTGCCTGTTCCACGAAAAACTAATGCTGTGGTCTTCACTCTCTAAAACTATCTCCCCGTTGTCATCCCTGCTGACATTCATTGTTTTATCATTTCTACTGAGTTTAAAACTACAAGGGTTACAAGAACATTTTATCCCTTTAGGGTCAATAGAAATTTCATTTCTCATTTGTAACTTACAGCCACACATAGGACAATCAAAGGTGATAAATTTGCTTGTTAGTTTTTGTTCCTCATCCAGATTTATTGTGGTGGGTTCTTCATCTGATAGTTCAAAATCTTCAGGTATTGGTTGCTTCTTGATTTTACTACTGATCTTTGGTTTTACTTTCTTTGGTGGCATCTATATAATACTTAAGATAATTTATAATTACCTTCAGAAACTCCAGCATTACCCTGAATATCTGTTTAAGTTTATTATCTTTTACAATTGGAAATTTAGTATCATCAATGACACCATCTTCAATCACATCTATTGTATTGATATAACTATCATAATCACTCATCCTATATAATTAGATGATAAAATTACTACTATCTAATTATATATGGATGTTTAGGCGCAAACAAAAATCCATAAGGGGCGGTAGGTAAATGTCAAAGAAAATGAACTGTGCTGATTGAAACATAGCATCAAACAAATTCAATAGCAAAAAGGCTTCAAATATTCTACTGCTTGTTGTCATAGCAAAAAGAGACCGTGTCGGGAGTGAAAAAGAAGCAAGAGCCCAAGGGGTGGATTTTTTATTTTTAATTAACATTCTTATGATGGGCATAATGGCACTCTGTTCCATATTCTACCGACCCCTATTCAGGTAAAATAAGATATGCCATTTACAATGAATATTAGAAATTAATTTCTAAATAATTTATATGAAAAAACTTGCTGTTCCCAAGATTGAACCTATCAATGTTAAACAGTATGAATTCAAACAATCACCCTACCCACAAGCAGACAAACTACCATTCAGAAGCATCATTGTATCGGCATCACAGGGTGGAAAGGGTATATTAATTCAGAACCTCATTCTAAAAATCTACAGGGGATGCTTTGAGAGAATATACATTGTATCACCGACAGCACACATAGATGAAGCATACAAAGAAGTAATCCGATACATAGAGAAAGAACTAAAAATAGACAACAAAAAAGAGCAATATTTGTTTGATGAGTATGACCCTGAAAGTCTGGCACACATCATAGACACACAGCATAAAGTGATAGAATACCAGAAGAAAAACAAGATGAACAAGTTATATAGTTGTTTGTTAGTAGTTGATGATTTCGCAGAAGATAAGACATTTATGAGATATAGTAAAATCCTTCACGGCTTATACACAAAATCAAGACATTTTGGATTATCAGTCATAACTGCCACACAGAAGTATAACGCTTTAAGTCCTATAGTCAGGTTAAATTCAAGTAGCCTTTACATCTTCAAACTGAAAAATCAATCAGAACTTGACACATTCATTCAAGAGCAGTCAGCCCTGATTGATAAGAAAACCATAAATTAAATTTACAGAGTAGCCACTGAAGAGCCCTACTCATTTCTATTTGTAAAGTTGAGAGAGAGTGATATAAATAAAATCTTTATGAACAGATTTGAAGCGGAAATCCATATTCAATAATATTACTTCAATCATAATATTATTAAATCAAACTCCAACTACAAAGTTGAATAGCAGGTAGTTTATACATAATCTTATCAGACTTTTCCTTGTTCAATTTTTCAATTTTGCTATTGATTTCTTTTAAGGCTTTTATTTGTAATTTATCTATCCTACTAATATCTAACTCTTCTTCATTAATTTTACTCAATTCTTGAATACAACCGTTCTCAACTGTAGATTGTTTATTTCCCATATTTATAGGTTTATATTTTAATTTTCTTTGCTTTTTGCTTTAGCCTTTGCTTTCGCTTTACCTTTACCTTTCAATTCTTTTATCTCCTCCATCATTTCAAACATACAAGCCTCTAAATGCTCAATCTTTTGTTGTTGCTCCCTCACAGCGCCCCATAAAATAGAGTTCATCTTGACATAACTTAATTTCTTAATACCATCCACTTTCACAAGTATATTTTCAACTTTTTCTGGTATATTTTCTTCTACCTCCTCTGCTATAAAACCTATATGAGTTTTAGTTATTCCCATTTCTTTTTCTTCTTTCATTTTGAAAGTATGAGGTTTAATGCTATTTACTATTTTTGTAAAATTGAAGTTTGCTTCTTCAATATCATATTTCATATCTTTTTGTGATGTATCTACAAGGTCTCCCTCTAATGTATAAGGTGCTGGAACAGAAACTTTTGATGGAGTAACAAAAAGTCTTACACTACCATTAGCATAAAATATTATATCTCCGTTAGGGTCTTCATTGTATAACTTGAAATGATTAACACCTGCTGTATTTTCATTAAAGATATAACTATTTTTACCAGTTTCTTTATGAAAATATGCCCTTTTGTCTTGATTGACATATATATCTTTTGAAAAATTAACATCTTCATCTGCTTTTCTGTATCTCATATATTCTACTGAACCGTCATCTGTTGTATTACTGCCTTGAAAAACCATATCAGCACCAACATTTCTATGGATAAAATAGTCGCCATAAATATATTGAGACGACAATGCCCTACCTGTTGATACATCAATAATATTTTGAGTGCCATCTAATGTAAAGAAATTAACACCACCCCTTTTAAA